CTGGGCATTCAGCCTCAGAGCGCGGGGGGAAAGGAGAAAAGGAAGCCTGAAAGTAATTGCAGGGCTCATCACAGCGTCTAGCGATGAAAGCCACTCCCATATATGAGCACATCAGAGCTTCGACGAAGCTTCTTTTAGCACCTATTAGGCATTTTTATTTGCTTGCAGGCAACGTTTCAGGGCCACCTTGATGTGCCTGTGTCAACTTTAGGCAGACAATGCTGCAGTTGGGCGGGCCACGCAAATTCACTAGAGATTCCAGCCTGCCGTGGAGCTACGCTTGCTGCAGTCTGCAGCGAAAACCCCTCGAAGTGAACTTAATGACAGTTTTTTCTGGTAACTAATTGACGATATGGTGGGCCTGTTCTCTTTCAGCATACGCCTCGTCGATTCATGCGCGTCGGTGTTTCCGTGAAGAGGTTGTACGGCTTCATCTTCTTGTACTTGGCGTTTATTTTCTTTTAAGACATTTAAGTGTAGAAAAAGACAATATTTTGATGAGAATGCGCTTCCTTCAGGCATAGAAGGCCGGGTTTGCTCCAGAAAAGTAGTACCCCCCCCTTACAATAGCCATAGATGTTGTGTCACCCTCCGAGATAGAGAGGATGCCAATAGCAACATTTAGTTTCGCCGTGCCGGGCAAACATATTCCCAAGTAACACGGAAACATACATGATCTTTTCATTTGCTGAAAGAAGAAGCATGCATTAGAGTTGAACAGCAAAAGCCACCCCTGGCTCATGAGCGGGCTCGAGTTCAGGCGAAGCATTCTGTCCACATTAACATTGAAATTATAAAAACGCCGTTTTGCATCTTGTGCCAAACGTTATAATATGCCCACTTTATGCTGCAAAATGCGTTTGCTTTTGCCACTTTTCGCTTTCCCTGTGGCAGTCCTCGCAGAGGCGAGTGACATCGTCGAAGTGCCGGTCTCTCCCTTTCCCAGGTCCGAGCTCCCAGACAATGAAGCTTTAGTGTTGGGTCAGACCGCTTTTCCACCGATACAGAGGAAACAACGCGTGAGATCGGCGACCTTAGCGGTTGCCTTCTTGGCTGCCGCAGTTGCTACTGCGTTTTTGCTCTTTCAGTGCTTCAAGGCCCTACAATCCAACGGAAGTTCGAGCACCTATGGAACAAATAGGCGAAGACTCGCGGGGGGACCTTCAGACCCAGACTCATGCGAAGTATGCTTTGCTCAACATAACCTGGGCGCCGATGTCAGGCACAGCGCTGGACAGGCTGGAGGCGCACAGGCTAT